TTTTAAGTTAATTTTTTAATGAAGAATTGAAAGGCTAGTATATCACTGTTAAAAATTTATAACAATAGTCAATATAAATTATATAAATAAAATATATATTATTCTTGATTTATTATAAATACATTTAAACATGAATACATATATGTATAAATAATTTTCAGAAATAAAATAATATCAATGATAGAAACCCGAAAACAATAATAATGATACTTTGGGCCGCAATAATCTTTAGTTTAATAAATAAGCTCATTAGATTTGTAGGCTATCTTTGTTTCCAATCATTATAATTTTAAATACCTAATCATGTTTCCAAACACTAATTTTTTGTACTTCAGCTTTAATAGTATAGATGTCTTCTTTATAATATGAAGCTCTTGTTGGGCTTACATAATTAAGTCCACAAAGACACCCTATAGGGTGAAGATTTCTAATTTGTATCGTTTTATCAAGCCTTTGAATTAGAGCCCATTTGATTTCAAGATTTAATATAAATCAAGAATCATCATCACACAGCACTTACGATGTCATAAACAAGTTGTTCCTTGAATGTATAATGTAAACTGTGAGAAAAACAGCTTCGTACTTAATGTCAAAATGTTGACTTTTTTAGCAGTTACTTTTGACTACCATGCTCAAATTACCGGTTTTTAGGTTTTAACTTTTTCAAACACAACCATTTCGTTTAAACACACAAAAGCGATGCAGTGATTATGTTTCTGTGAAAGCAATGTGAGGCGAAACCATAGAAGAAGAAAAAGGCTACAAACGGCATCGTTAGCAAGATTACAAAGTTAACTTTTTGCAACTACTTTTGACGACAGTTCAATTAACGGTTTCACAACATTAACCGTTTGGTTATATCCTCACCTGAAAGGCTGAAATTACGATAAGGTAGGTCCCGTAGTTAATTTTAGTATTAAAAAGTTAAAAAACCATATCATATATCACAATAATAATTTAAAATAAATCACGCCTCCACTCCCGGAACTCTCTTCCTCTTTATATACTTTCCAACAAGAACAAGCTTCAACACAAACACGAATCATAAACTTCTCTCTTTTACAATATTTATTTCTGTTAGGAATAATGATTTCCTATTCTAATCCTTTTGTTTACACATTTATATTGTTCCTATCAATCGGCAACACGATTGCTCTCTCTTCGAGTTCGTTGCCGCATACTCAAGATCCTAATGTAGTTGTTGACGAAGTTAATAGGTACGTAAAGAATTCAAAATATGATAAAACTCAAGTTTGATATAACAATGTTGCTTTGCAAATACAAAATGTATTCTCGTTACAATTGTTCATACAAAAAATGTTGCAGTTAATTCCATAAACGTCTTTCAAAATATGATAAACTCAAATTTTAGCCCAAAAAAAAAAAAAAAATTATAAACTCAAGTTTCACCTGTAACTATGGTTTACTATGGTTCACACACATTCAGCGATTTTCAGATCCCAATAAATATTTTTTTTGTAAACTAAGCTTTAAAAGTTTCTTCAAAAAATGTCTTTTTAATAAAAACTTAACTGAAACTACACTTAATTCTGGTTCACACTATATATAGTATCCCATTAAACTCAAAGGATTTTTGTCAACCTTCTGGAAACTACACACTCTATATTTTCATTTTCATTTTCATTTTCATTTTCATTTTCATTTTCATTTTCATTTTCATTCGATGCATCAGGAAAACCTTTACGAGCAAAAAGTTGTTAGCTACCTATTTTTTTGTATAATGGGTTTCCCTAGCTAGCTTTTGCCTAGTGTTTTAACTACTTGCCAATTGTGGCCGACACTTTTTCCCCAACGACCATATCTAATATGTTCACATTTAAATGGATTAAGTTAGTTGATAAAAAAAAGGATTTTTTTAAGTTATATATATTTTCTATATATGTTTGTAGAAGTGTATTCAATGCGTCAAGGAGGAGCCTGGCCTACCTATCTTGTAGAACCGGTAATCCTATTGATGATTGTTGGCGTTGCGATCCAAATTGGGAGACAAACCGCCAACGGCTAGCCGATTGTGCTATAGGGTTTGGCAAAAACGCTATCGGAGGACGCGATGGCAGAATTTACGTGGTCACAGATGCGGCCAACGATGATCCAGTAAACCCAAGACCGGGAACACTAAGACATGCGGTCACGCAAGAAGAACCGTTATGGATCATTTTCAAGAGAGATATGGTCATTAGGCTCAAGAAAGAACTTATCATCACATCTTTCAAGACAATTGATGGTAGAGGCTCAAGTGTTCACCTAGCCGATGGACCTTGCATTAAGATCCACTATGCAACTAACATCATCATACATGGCATTAACATTCATGACTGCAAACCAGGATCAGGTCAGACCAATTAAATAGACTAAACTTTTGTAAATGCAAGTAGCGTTCTGAGGGGAAGCCAAAGAATCGTAGGATTATGACCTTTTTTGTTTATGTAAAATATCGACCAAAATATTTAATAACATTAGGTAGTTTAGTAGTTAATGAAAATTAAAATTGAGATGTAGATAATGGGTTCCTAGCTACAACAATAAGCTTCTTATTTATTAGTTGTTTCGATCTATAAATATTTCGGGCCGGCACCGAAATGATAAAATAAATATAACCAAAACTTTTGTATAAAACATGCTAATATATGTTGTGGTTATAGGTGGCATGATTAGAGATGGACCAGGTCACACCGGGTGGTGGGTACCATCAGATGGAGACGCAGTGGCGATATTTGGAGGGAAACATGTGTGGATAGACCATTGCTCTTTGTCGAAGTGCGATGATGGTCTCATAGACGCCATACATGGTTCGACGGCTATAACCATATCGAACAACTACATGACGCACCATGACAAGGTCATGCTTTTAGGACACAGCGATAGCTATACACAAGACAAGAACATGCAAGTCACCATTGCGTTTAACCATTTTGGGGAAGGGCTCGTTCAAAGAATGCCACGGTAAGCACTTTATACCTATTTACCCCTTAATCGCAAACACACACATATATAGTCACGTAGATACATAGAAGCTTGCTTGCGAGGGGTACAGGCACGCGTATAAAGAGTGTGCATGTGAAAGCATGACTTTATAGAGTATGCAAAAAGTCCACAAAAGAAGAATGTGACTTTTTTTATCTACCACCGGTCGATCACATGCCAATATATACCATAAGATAACTTTCATTAAATGAGATACGAATATAAACAAGTCTCGACCATTGGTTGTATACAATATTGATTTTTATCAGACGGTATAAAACGACTTTAAAAACATCTTGCCGAAATATAAATTAAGACTAAAATACAAATGAAAATGTTTTCTGTATTTAGTTGAAACTGAGCACCCCCATTGGAGGTTCAATGGGGGGGGGGTTTACACAAAATTCAAGACAAAAAAAATAAAATATAATAAAAGTTATGAATCTGAGCAGATGGGGGTCATAGGGATGAACCCGGATCAACATTGTTCACGTGGGCCCCATGCCACGTGGCGGCCCACGATTGGTCCATTATTATTATTTTTTTTAAAAAAAAAACAAACGAAAAAAAAGAAAAAAAATCATTTTTTTTTCTTATGAACCTCCCCCATCGGTTCACTGATGGGGATGCTCTTACTAATATTTAGGGGTTTAAATATATAATAAACAGGTGCAGGCATGGGTATTTCCATGTGGTGAACAATGATTATACACACTGGGAAATGTATGCCATCGGTGGAAGTGCTTCTCCGACGATATACAGTCAAGGAAATAGATTTCTCGCTCCTAATACCCGATTTAATAAAGAGGTACGTTGTTGAGAAATTTTCATAACTATTTTATATTAGTATTAGTTTAGAATATTTAACATGTGACATTTGACCCTGAGTATTAAGCTTAATGGATTGTAGTTTTGTATATATATTTATTAACATGTGTTTGTTTTTAATGTTTTAATGAATAGGTTACAAAACATGAAGATGCACCCGAAAGCGAATGGAGAGGTTGGAACTGGAGATCCGAAGGGGATATGTTGTTGAACGGAGCATATTTCCGGCAGTCAGGTGCCGGAGCTTCGTCGACATATGCAAGAGCTTCTAGCCTAAGTGCTAGGCCATCATCGCTTGTGGGTTCTATCACGACGACAGCAGGAACACTAAGTTGTCGGCGAGGTCGTCGCTGTTGATTATTCCGTATTACAATGATAATGGAATCGTTAAGAGATAAAAATATATATTAATTGATCACTGTTTATGCAATGGTTCTAATGAATGGTAAGGGACTTTTGTTTTTTCTTGTTTTGCTTTGTTTTTACTTTTTTCAATGTAATGTTACAAGTGTAATGCGTCTGCTATGTCTCTGGACATTTGCAAGGGATGATTTCTAAATTTAGAACCATTTCAAGTTTTTGTTTATTTGTTAACCATGAAGCTTTGGATCTTAATTAGCCAGTTTTTTTTCTTGGACAAAATTAGCCTATCATTTCTCCAGACCAGAAGGCCATAATATGTTAATTAATTTTTTTGTCCGTTGTTGCTGTTAGAGCATCACTATTAGCAAATCTGTAGTGGAGTTCGCTACATGGCTTTTTCAAAAAAAAAAAAAAAATTTTCGTTTATTTAAAAAATTAATAATAATTGGTCTAATGGTAGATCACCATATGTTGTGGAGTCCACGCTATAGTAATGAATCGGGTTTATTGCGGAGATTGCAAAGAACAAGTTCAATACTATTCATTATTTTAGTATTTTTTTATAAAAATCCTGTGAATTCCATCTGAATCTTTGATGGGGATGCTCTTGTTCTCCAACTATTCCCTGTGGATGGCTGGGTAGGATGCTGGTTAAGTTATCAACTAGAAAAATATCTATCGCATATTGACTTAATAGAATTCATAAAATAAAAAAAAATAAAAATACAACGCATAATCGAATTCCACGTCACACAAATTGAGAAATTTTCCAGGTTGCACACTATATAGGGTCAATCCAAAGAACTCATCTGACCTTCTCTGTTTCAAAAGAAAAACAAGCTGGCTCCTCCCGCCGCAGCAACAGCAACGCTCAAAACGGTTGAAGAAGATCTAGAGACGGAGCTAGACGGCGACTTTTCATTCATATCTTCTTCGGGTTGTGCAAGTCCTTGGGTTGGGCTAATAGGCACGTAATCACCCACCACCTCGATACCGTCAGGTGCAAGTTCTATAGGGATCTCATAATCGGGATAATCTTGAGATGGACCAAGACTCTTTATCATGCTCTTCGTAGAGTTGTCTGCTGGTGATGATTTGCTGTCTACAGGTTGAGGTTTTTCAGCATCTGCTGCTAAATTTCCATTAGCGATGGTCAAGATCACCAGAAGGTAGACAAGGAAATAATAATGACTATTCATGGTGTAGATATGTGTGTTGATTAGATTCCCCTCGTCTCTTTGATTGAATGTCACCCTTTTTGTTTGGTTATATATTTATAGAGAAGATCGACTGAAACCTTCAAGAAGAATCAAATGGAGATTGGGAATTTAAACTTGTTTGGTTGAAGTGTTTATTAGGTGGGTTACGGTTACGGTACATTAGCTATTTTTTACTTTATATATATATTTTGGTTAAACTATTTTGGAATATTTGTTAGGGTAACTCTAACTAATTGTTTGTTTTCATATGCATGTATTTGATAATTGGAAACATCATAACCATATGTACATCAAACGTACGTCTTTATGAGTTTATGTAACATTCACAAGCTAATTATATATCAATAGTGATATGTATCCTTTTTGGTGTTGAAGTGTATTCTATGGTTCTCCTTAGTTTATTATTTCGTGTAAATTGTTGTATCATGTATGTTTCGCATTGTTGTCTGTAGTAGAAGTTGTACTATCAAACTGAAAAATCATTGTTAACTACAGATATAATAGACCGTGTTAACCATAAGAATGTGTAATGGTTATTATAACGACTAAGATTACATGATCATATTAATCAAAAATTACACAATTTAACTAAACATTTATTACAACATCAAACCCTAACCTTCGTACTATGAACGAATTTAACATGTTGAAAATTAATCGAAGTGTGATCAACCTTTTCAAATGAGCCAAAAAAAAAAATATTTAACGTATAATAATTGTCTTAAATGTAAATATGAAACCTCATAGTAGTAGTAACATTTTTCATTATATGAAGAAGAACCATGTCACGGCGGCAAGAACGGATCCGCAGACAGAGATCTCAAGGGACGAGGCTCTATCCGTCGGAGCTGAAGCTTCGGGGCCTTCACTGGCGGATCCTTCATCAGTTGACGACGATGGAGAGTTGTCTGGAGTAGGAGATGGCGGAGAAGAGGCGGAGGGTGAGTCAGATGAGCTAGTGGGACCTTGAGAGTTATCACCGGAGCTTGAGTCGGGACTCGAAGCCGGCGTTTTGGTCGACGACGATTTAGGAGACTTTGCGGTGGAGCCACCGCCTGAAGATGGTGAAGCGCTTGGAGTGGCGGTTGAGTTCTTCTTGGAGTTGGTCGGAGGTGAAGCCTTAGGCGGCGAGGCGTTTGATTTTTGCGGTGGTGCGGCGGTTGTTTTTGGCGGTGGTGCGGCGTTTGTTTTCGGCGGTGGTGCGTTGGTTGTTTTTGGTGGTGGCGCGGGGGTTGATTTTGGCGATGCTGCAGCGGCGGGAGAAGGAGATGTTGAGGTTTTGTTGCCATTGGCTTTAGGAGCTCCCGCTGGTGTTGGAGGATCGGCAGCGAGGACGGCGGTGATGGCCAAGGCGGCGACGGCGAGAGATAGGAGTTGAAGGGTCATTGTGAATGTGATAATGTTTGTGTTTTTTTAACCGCGGTAATTAATTAATTTGATTGCTTATTGTGTTTTGTGTCGCCTACGTGGTTTTATGGTAAACGGTGATAGTATATTAAAGGGAAGAAAAAGGTGATTTTGAAGAAATTAGGGAAGAAGTGAGTTTGAAATTTATAGGAAAATTACATATTTGACGGAAGTTTTGGTTGACCGGGTCCATCGGAACTTGTCTTAAAAATTTACTGGTTTCATCTTTTGTTAGTAAAAGCGAGAACATGTGGTAATGGTAATTTCAACTTTCAAAAGACAATAGAAAACACTTGACTGACTATTGTAATATGAATTCTAGTGAAACTGGTTTTGTAGTGATTTTCTTACAGACATTAAATAATTATTTTTAAAATATTTTATTCTAATAAATTTAAGTATGTTGTTGTAAATTTATGAATATAATTTATTTTGTATATGTAATTTTTATAAAATTAAATGGATTAAGTTATTTTATATTATTAATTGGTGCAGTATATTTAGTTATGAATATGAATTATGTATATATAAACATTTTAACAACTAATGTATGTATAACATTATAGAATTTTTTTTCTTATTATATAAATCAAAATGAATTAAAAGAAATATATATTTATATCAAAAGATGTTATTAAATGGAATCCAAAGAATTTATTACTTAATAATATATTTTTAATATATAACTTTGAAAATATATACATAATGTGTAGGTTAGAGTGTCTATCTAATAATAAATTAAGTTAGTTGTAGATGAAATAATATTTTCAGTGTTTCTATTTTAATAGCATAGATATTTATCATATTTAATTTTAATTTTGTATATTTAACATCAATAAATATAAATTTTGTGAACCAAGTTTGATCCAGTGGTATTATATTAAACCGAAACTCAATAGTTATCCGGTTCGGTTAAAAAACATTTGTATAAAAATGAAAGTATATGAATAGATGGGCTCAAGAAAGGGCCCATTCGAAACCAAAAAAGGTGAATTGGAGAAGAAGAAAACTCTCCCCTTATTGTTCTTCTCTTCTCGGCTTAACTCTTTTCCTCTCTGTCTTCTCTTCTTCTCCTTCTCCTTCTCCTTCCGATTCAAGCTTCAGGTTAATTAGTTGAGCCTTTTCTTTTCCTCTACACTTTCTCATCTTGACATCTCTCTTCTCGTTTTTTTTTCTCCGGCCTTCTTCTTTGTTATCGATCCGATCTAGGTAAAATTGTTTGATTCTGAAGTTATTTTTACTCTCTCTTAGTTGCAGAAAGAAAGAATGTCGCAGTCAGCAGTGGATGTTCCGGCAAAGGGTGGGTTCAGCTACGATCTGTGTAAGAGAAACGATATGCTTATTCAAAAGGGTCTTAAAGCTCCTTCCTTTTTGAAGACCGGTACTACCATCGTCGGTTTGATCTTCAAGGTCCCTCCTTTATTCTCTTAGGCGTAACAGAACTGTTAGTTATAACTAGTTATGGAATCTCTGAAATTATAAAATTAGATGTCTGTGTGGAGTTTGATTAGTGAAGAACTTGAGGCTCTTAAGACTAGATTGTTCTATTCATCTGATAGTTTAGCTCTATTCTGTATAACCATTTACCTAGTGCCAATGTAGTGTTCCTTGTTTTTTTTTAACTAGCTCGGCCTCTCCCTGTAGTTTAGAGCACAGTAATTAATACGTTATGTGTTCTCGTGCAATCACTTAATTTCTTTTATAGTGACTGATTGTGGTAAATCTGATAGCTATATAACATTGGTTTCAATATTTTTGTGTGTGTTGAATAGGATGGTGTGATACTAGGTGCGGATACCCGAGCAACTGAAGGGCCTATTGTTGCTGATAAGAACTGTGAGAAAATTCATTACATGGCACCTAACATTTATTGCTGTGGTGCTGGTACCGCTGCTGACACTGAAGCTGTGACTGGTATTTCCTTTGTAACTTTCAGATTTTAGCTCTTTCTTTTAAGAAACCAACTCCACAGAACTTGATGCTTTAGTTTTATTGGTTTCTATCTCATTGTTTCAGATATGGTCAGCTCCCAGCTGAGGTTGCATCGTTACCAGACTGGCCGAGATTCTCGTGTCATCACTGCGTTGACTCTTCTCAAGAAACACCTTTTCAGGTAAATTTTTTGTTTCTTTTTATCTCCTCCATAATCTCAGATTTAAAGAAAGATATGTGACTTAACCACTAGCTTCATCCAGCTATCAAGGTCATGTCTCAGCTGCTCTTGTCCTTGGTGGAGTCGATATCACTGGTCCTCATCTTCATACTGTAAGCTTTAAGTTTACAACTACTGTTTTCTACTGAAAGAGTTATTTGTTTGCTTGTTTTGTTGTTATTCTTATCATCTTTGACTAAACACAGATATACCCACATGGTTCAACGGACACTCTACCATTCGCCACAATGGGTTCTGGTTCTCTTGCTGCTATGTCTGTTTTTGAGGCAAAGTATAAAGAAGGTTTAACTGTAAGTGAACAAAAACATTCATCTTTCAATTTTCAGATGGATTCTTTTCTTCTGTCTTATCGATTTCTTGTTTCAATATCCTATAGAGGGATGAAGGAATTAAGCTGGTCGCTGAGGCCATATGCTCGGGTATATTCAACGACCTGGGTAGTGGTAGCAACGTGGACATTTGCGTTATCACTAAGGTTTGAAAATCTACAAAAACTATCTCTGATTAGAGATATTGCAAAACACTCTTTCCATTCGGCATTGGAGTTTAATGCAAAACACTCTTTTGCATTCCCCTTGTTTTGTTCGTTTCTTGTTGAACTTGTTCTCTGGCAAACAGGGGAACAAGGAGTATCTCAGAAATTACATGGAGCCAAACCCAAGAACCTATGTCAGCAGCAATGGCTATTCGTTCACCAAGAAAACAGGTAAGCTAATCTGTCTCTCTCCTTACTTGATCAACACAACATGAGAAGCTCTCAAGGGATCCTTATTTGAACCTGTATTGTTAGTTTCGGCTTTAGTCTACTCGTAGCATCCTGATTCCATTTTAGTTTTCAGTACCCTTTGGTTCTCACTTGAGTTTATTGTGTATATTGTAAACAGAGGTTCTTCGCACAAAAATCACCCCATTGAAGGAGCGAGTTGAAATTATAGAAGTGACTGGTGAAGCTATGGAAGAGTGATTGAATGTCAAGTCTCTCTGCTTTTGCATTTATGTGTGCGTGAGACATATCAGTCTTTGTTTTTTCTTTACCAATGAAAGTTTTAAGGATTATTTCAAATCTTGTGTCTCTACCCCATCTTTAGGATTTCAGTGGAAGCTCCCTTGAGACACTCAATATTTTCTCTCTCTCGATTCCTAAATGAAAAGAGTTTTCTTAGAAGTTAATTATTACATTCAACGCTGGTTTGTGCAACCGAACCGATTCCATGAGCACTGTTCATGTAATCGTTCTAGAAAGAATACTGGTTCTTATTTCAAGTTCGTGACCTCATGATCTTGAAAATCTTTTGTTCATAGAAGTTTGCGTATAGATGAATCACTTAACTTGCCACATTGTTCTTTTAGATATACAGTACCTACCACACAATATTATATTCATATGCATATACTATTACAGATATATACCACCTGAATTTGTATAAAAAGACATGACGCATAGCTAATGATTCCAGGTAAAATAAAAATCAACCATCTCATTGCATCACAGCGTCTTTCAAACCAACATTATCATTGCAGAAACAGGAAAACCAGACACAAGTTCACATCAAGATAAACAACAATGGTGTAACAAGGTTGCTCCAATGATTTAGGGTCAATGCTATTGCTAGTAGAGTGAATCTACGCAAGATCTTTGAATCCTTGAGAAACCTGAGCACGGACAATCCTTGATCCTTGAATCTTTGAATTGGCCGGTGTAGATACCATCAGCATCGTGGTGGCCAATGTTGAGCTGCACAAAAGCATGAATGATCCTTTGATTTGATCAACCTGTTAGTCGCTAAATTGCAAAAGAACAACAAACAATCTTCACAAGTAAACAGCACTATGGCTTTAGACTACAGAGCTTCACAAGTGAGAAGCCAAACTTCGAATTTCTTGAACGCAAAGCAGTATGAGAGAGAATATGAATGCCAATATACCATCACTATGTCAAATTTATTTGGAGATTTTACATGGTTTTATATAATTGTATTCAACCTTGGCTGACTAGTGGAAAGGGATAAACAATCTTATTTATCACATATCAATATTGAGTTAAAATAATGAAAAGGAAACTCATCAAAACACACTAGAATAGAAGTCCAAAAATATAGCAGGTTAATGATAACTTGTGGTTCAAAAAGTATGAAATGTGCAAAATCTAAGGATCCGAGCCAAATAGCTTCATGTTTTAGCACCATGGACGTATTGGTAGTACATGAAAACATTGCAGTGGTGAAAAAGAGAGAAGGAAAATCCGGATTGAGAGATTTGTTTCAAAACGATCTAAATCTTGATGTTGAAGTAATCAGAGTCAAAATGATGCAATCTGACGTAACCATCTTCACCTCCACTTGAGAAACTGGAAAGAGAGAAACAATTCACAAACTCAGCAACAAAGCCAAAAAAAGAAAAGAAAAAGTATGTAACATGTCATATCAATCAATCAGATAATGTGACTTTACCTCCTTCCATCAGGATTGAATGCCAAAGCATTGATAGGTCCAAAGTGACCTTTAACACCACCAATCTCCTCTTGCAGAATCTATATACATCGTTATATACCAAACACAGTTTACATCTAATATATGTTCCTGGTTGCAATTTTCAAGTAAAAGCTTCTTATTATAACACAAACCTTGTCATAAAACTTAGCCTCGAACTTCCCAGCACGATGATCAGTGGTTGTCACAGCTGATGCATCTTGACCACCTCCAATCACAACCTAAGAGACAGAAAAAAATATAACATATCACAAAGACAACCTTGATTTTTTAAGAATCAAATTCAAACTTGTTAGACATATTACTACATACATGGTCGAGAAGTGGAGATAAGGAGACAGCATTTACAGGTACCCCTGAAGTGTAAGTCTTAATAAGAGTCAACGTTCTCATATCCCACAGCTGAAACAATTAACACACAAAGAAACACTCTTTTATCAGGATATATATATAATACACAAAGAAACAAAAGATAGAAGGAAAAGAAAGGAACACATGCCTTTGCTGTTTTGTCAAGTGAACCTGTAATGAAGTGAGAATCATCAGCTGATTTACAAAGCGATGTAATTGTCTGCTTGTGACCCACTTCCTTATCTGTTTCCTTGAGCAATTTTCCAGTCTAGCAAACAACAATGGCAGAGTACTATAAAATGTTTTAAGTCAATTAATTTTAAATGAAATTGGTACACACACCACCAAAACTTTTGAATCACACCTCAGCATCCCAAATCCTGAGGACAGCATCTTCACCACCACTAACAATGGTTTGGTTCAAAGGTCCCCAAACAGCTCTGTTTATCCTCTTCCTTCCCTCAGGATTCTCAAGGACGAGCACAGAGTCACCAACCTCTGCACCATTTGCACAAAACAGTTTACAAAACTAAAAAAAAACTTTCCACATACAATCTATAAGTAACTTACGGTCTTGGGGATCATCAGCGATGCGTTTGACATGTATAGCAGAAGTATGTTCCATGAAGGGATCAGTGGTGATGACAGCAAGCTTATCACCAACAGAGAAATCAACAGACCTGGCGGGAGAACTGAACTTAAAACTAAACAACTGTTGTCCAGTTTTCACATCCCACAGCTTTGCAGTCTGATCAGCACTACCAGTTATCAATCTCGACGAGTCTCCTAAAAAAAATTCCAAACAAATAAAAAATCAGTTTAAAATTAAAAAAAAAAATCTAAAAGCCACAAAAAAAAAAAAACAAGAGACTTAACTTGAGACATCACAACACCAAACAGCACCATTGTGACCACGGTAAGTGCCATGACGTTCGCCGTTATCAGCATACCATAGAGTGGGAGTGTGATCTTTAGCGCAGGAGAAAAGCATGTCTCCATCTCTGTTGTACCTTAGGAACGTTAATGGACGTTCATGCCCCTTCATTAATATTGGCCTCATCTTTTTTCAAAGCTCCTTTTGTTTTTAACCAAAGCTAAACGAGGATGAGAAGTTGCAGACGACGAACGGAGAAAGAAGGAAGAGTGTTACACCAGATTCTGGAACAAAAAACCCTAAGGTTGAATTGTGACGAATATACCCTTGTCTTATTGTTTAAACAACTTGACATGCCATCAACAAGTTATTGCCATCAGTAAAACGTTATTATCTTTGGGTAACTTATTTTGATTCTTTCTTAAAATTTTCTAGAGACCTTCCCATGGTTGATTTGGAGAATTCGGAAAGCTAGAAATGAGCCTTGTTTCTCTAATCAACATATCTAGGCTCCAAACATAGTTGAAAGAGCACAGACGGATGCAAAATAGTGGTATGATCAAAACACATAGATGCATCTTGGACTTGGAATATGATCATTCAGGTCAATGTAGTGTAAGGATTTGATATTTAGGAGAAATCGTCTGGTGTCCTTGGATGTGGAATTTAAAGCTAAAATGTCCCCAATTTTTCTTTTAATTTTATATATCAAATGAAAAATCAGAAAATTAAATTGGAAACATCAATATTTTTTATTTGATTTATAGAATTTGATAAAAATATTTCAAAAATCAAAAAACTGTTTTTTCATATTTTTCCGATAATTATCAAAATATGATTAAAAAAAAATTTAAAATAATTTTTTTTTTTCGAATTTGAAACATATAGAATTTAAATATTTATCCATGGGTTCACTGATCCATAGATGGAGGTTTTGTTTAGTTTTGATCGCTTGAGAAAGATTTATTTGAGTCGATATTTAGGGACACAATAGGTTGTATGGAGCCAAAACATATCCTCGGCCATTTTATGGACAATCACGAGTTTACAAGTGTGGTGTTCCAAAGTGACTCTAAGATTTTGGCACAGGAGACACTCAATTATAACTCTCAAGTGCTGCAGAAATGAAGTTTTGAGCTCAAGGAGAAAATAAGCTGATGGATGTGCTGATACTATTGCCAAAGGAGCTACGCAATGTCTTTCTTCACCCTCTTAAAAGTTTGTATTTATAACCCAAAACTTGTAAACATAAATTTCACATAAACAAAAACGGAGTTTCTTTTGTGTTCAACATTATGTCTAGACATGATATAAAATACCCACACATATATACACTCATCTATTACGTTAAACTAGAGTAGTAGCTTTTCCACGAATTGAATATATAAAAAACAACAACTTACCTTTTCATTCTTCCAAGTAAATCTCCTTTCAACAACAAACCGTTAATTCTTGCTTTGGCCTCAAAGAAAACAAACATGAAGGGCCTCTCGTTTTCAGTGTGCCCCCATCTGAAATTACTGGCGATGGCCTTCTGGTAAAGCTACCACTTTATGAAAAGGCACTGTTCTTTGTGGCAATGCTCCGTCTTCTTCGTCGTCATCGAATTCCAGCAAGTACCTGGTGCCATCAGAAACTTAATCATAACTAAGCCCTTGAGATTCATAAATATTTGATCAAATTAGTGTATGATGGATATGAACAAAGGTGTGGAAGAACTTACTCGTCAGACTTCCTCTGGAACCAGATGTGCAAGAGTTTTAGAAGTTAGTTTCTTTTCTTCTTTGACATTGTTGAAGAGAGATTGAAATGGTGTTGAAACAAAAAAAAAGAAACTAACCTTTCGTGGAGTACTTACTACAGTGGCCTTGTAAAGCGCCGTGGTTCCTGGATATACAGCTAATACATGTTTCCCTGGTAGAAACTCTTGTGTGGTTGAAGGGTCATTCCTTTTTGGAAACGGTAATATACATGACATTGATAGTTTATACGTCCTAGAATGATTACAATAAACATAATCAGCAAGTTATTCAAATGTCTTTGCAAAAGTTTTCACAACGAGCCTAAGGTACCTCTGGCCACCTCCTTCTTCATCATCTCCAGGCTCTTCATCGAGTACTTCAACTCTGTCACAAACATTTGAGATTATTTTTTTAAAAATCCATGTATCGGTTTTATCCAAATGTACTAAAACTTATCTTTAAGAGAAAATATTTATAGATAACAACTATTGCTCCCTCTGAACCAATGTGGGATTCTTAGTTCAAAAGAGTTTAAACTTACTCTTTTGTTTCTCTATCGAAGTGAATCACTTTCACCAGAATCCATTCATCCTTCTCGGCGTCATCGGCAGTGACTCTTGCAGCAACCTACGTGAAAACATATGTCATTATGATTTTTTTTTTTTTTTTTTTGGATTTAGTGAACCAACTCAAAGAAACAGAGGTAGCTCTTGTTGGTACCTGTTCACCCCTTAGACTAGCATATGCCTCGATTTGATTTCTAACAGAAGGAGAAACTCTTTGCACATCTGACTCTACTTTCATTCTCTTCCTCTTCTGATCGTTGCCTTCTGCCACTTATGTGATATCATTACAAGCATCGGAAAAATCTTAATCCCCACTTATATATAATATCAAAATCATTGGAGACGTTTAAGACTCAAAAAGAGTATCCAACTCTTGGCGTCTCAATGTAGCCTCAAAAGAGCAAACATCACAGGTCTAAATGGTAATCAAAGTAATACCTAGTTTTCTGCGTTGTTGCCCCGTTGGTCCAGATGGAAGCAGAGAATCCAATTGAGTGAGCAGAATGTTTGAAACTCTGCGTTAAACACAAAGTCATAGAGGTAAGTGTTATACAATCGATATAAGTTGTCATTTAGCTGCTGTATCATCATAACTCTCTTACTCATTCAGAAACATTTTATAATGATGAAGGGATGTGGCTTACGTTACTTCGCTTTCTGAAAGCTCTTTCGCTTGAATGTACAAATTTTTAAGCTTTGATAGTGAAGTATCACCAGGCTTCTCAACTACCTCAGGCGCTGCATTTAAACATAATCACGAGTCAGCAGAATCAAAAAAGCTCAAGAGATTTCATAAACAAACAGAAAGAGAATTCTTTGTGATTCCCATTAATTGCCTTAGCTTAATATGATCTGCTACCATCAAATGTGGAATATATACAATGGAACGCAAGTCTCAGTTATAAAGAGTCACATTAAACTCCTCTAAGCTATCTATAGCTTAAGAACATCTCCAAACCCACTCCATAATCTACTGCAAAATGGAGTGGGAAATGGAGTGATGAATAAATAAAAAAGTGATTACTCCATAAATTGTTTGTATGATTCTACTTTCTCAAAAGAGCTTAAAACAAAGCTTCAGATTCTCATTAGTTTGTTTCCATAACAGAAAATCCACTGTGTTGTGGTGGAACTAGAGCGTGCACACATGTCCAACACCTCGCTTATTATGATATTGTCCGTTTGGGCCTAAGCCCTCACGGATTTGTTCTTGGGAAGGCTTTTCCGGCCTCATACTGAACGGAATTGGACCAGACTTATATATTAAATTTTGCTCGGTCTAATATTCGGATATGGGACCTGGATTGCCTATTTACCATAACAGACTATGTGAATACTTTCTGGTTACTATATCAAGGTTTAGTTTTGAGCAATGTTCTAAAAATCGGGTGGCATCTTATAGATTATTATTGTTTAGGCGGGTACCTAGACCGATTTTTTGAACACGTAGACGTATTTTTTTTTCTGAGAACATTAGAAAAAATCATTTCAATCATATCCGATTTGTTAACTAGGCGGGCACTTCCGCCTATACCAATTTTGTAACGCCCCGACCGCCCACGGCTAATGGGCCACCCACGCCCGCTCTCTCGGCCCGTGGGCCCCATCCCGTTCCAACGGTTGGTCCATTAATTTTCCAAGGCTCTAGAGTCATGTTTACTGACCCTGCAATCACCACCCGACCTTTCCCCGTGCTTTGGCCTCACTTACACGGTATCGCAAATCACTTCCCGATAGGTCACCCATCCTTTGACTACTCCAGCTCAAGCACGCTTAACTCTGGAGTTCTCTCTGGATGTGCTCCCGAAAAGGTAAGTGCACTTTGGTGACATAGGTAGTCAAATCAATTCTCTTAAGCCTTTCCATATACCACAAACCGGGATGTTANGTGCTTTGGCCTCACTTACACGGTATCGCAAATCACTTCCCGATAGGTCACCCATCCTTTGACTACTCCAGCTCAAGCACGCTTAACTCTGGAGTTCTCTCTGGATGTGCTCCCGAAAAGGTAAGTGCACTTTGGTGACATAGGTAGTCAAATCAATTCTCTTAAGCCTTTCCATATACCACAAACCGGGATGTTACAAATTTTTAGAACACTGGTTTTTGAGAAAATGAAAACTCTCAAAACAAAGTTAAGAGACATTAACAAGAATAAATGTCAGAAAACTGTTAATGAACTTTGGCTAAATCTAAATCCTTTCTTCCATGGAAACATGGTAATATAAAGCTAAACCACTCTCTTACATTAATGAGATTAAGTCTCATATTATTTGATTTCTTAGGCAGATAATATGTATTGATGTAATCCATCTACTATGGAATTATATATAACATTACTTCAAGATCTAAACACACAAACGATTAAAACTAAACTAATTTTTTAAACACAATCAAAAAGGATACTAATTGAAATCAAAGAAGATCGAAACACATACTAGCTTGAAGCTTCTTATGCATCTTATTGATCTCGACAAGAACTTCCTCTTGTTCCTTCCTTAACCGATCAAGCTCCTTCGTGTTCTCCAGAATTCCAGCAATGTCCGGCGATGACGACATCGTTCTCAAGGCTGCTGCGGAAAATCAGGCAAAATTAATAATTAAAGGGATTTATGTTTCGATGTTGAAACTCTCTCAGAAGCTAGAAAAGATCTGAGTTTTTTTTTTTTGTTGGATTTTATGAAAAAAGAATTTCAAAATACAAGTCGAATTTTTTAATATTTGTTTTTGTTAGATTTTGATTGGCAATTCAGGGGACGTTACGACGCCGTATTGGTAGAAAGGGGAAAGTTGATAGAGAATATTCCATATTTTCATTCGTAGTTAATGAGATTATTAGTGGTGTAATCCGGATCAAAATCTAAAATTTCGATTTGGAAATGTGAGTAACTTTTAAAAAATAAAAATAAAATCTTTTTATCATTACTAAACTTGAATTACTGTTTGTACTATGCTAAATTCAAAAAAATGAAAAATTAAAGAAAAACAAAACATAGGATAAACATCTCTTTGATGCGTGATTTTTATCACTAATCTAATCTTGATTCCTTAATCTGTGATTATCATAATGTTATATCCTATTTGGCTGCCACGTGGTTAGCTTAACAGTGGGCGCAACTTCCGACACGTGTATCTCAGGCCTAATTTAAATAGGCTTGAATGAAATGCCCAATTTAAACTCTCACCGGGCCTTAAATAGTGTAGTGATACACGAAATAGCGAGAGTGTTCGATTTAACTTACACCGAAGTTGGAAAGAGAAGAAGCGACAATAGTGGTTTCATGCAGTAAATTTCGACGAAGAGTGGACCAGTTCTTGGTTTCGTAAGCTGTATGATCTCGAGATGCCCAAGGAGAATCATTTTTCTGCTCCCGTTGCGAATGGTGATCAACGCTTTATGAGTTTCTGTGTTTTGTCCAATTCTGCTGTCGCCAATAGTCAGACACGGCATTCCCTTTGTGTTCCTGTCTGTTTCGGTGTATGATCGCATGCTGCGGTATTGATAGTTTCACTGAACAAATGTGAACGAAAAGCTTTTTTTTTAGTGTGTTTTTGTTATTTAGACTCTGTTAATTTTTGAGAAAAAAAAAGACAGTTAATTTAGAATGGATAATTGTTTTGGTGTGACTTATAATCGAATTTTCTACTCTGTGATTGGCTTTATGAACATAGTTTCTTTCAAGATCCTGAAGAAGTGTTATTTCTGAAGTTGAACATCTTGCCTTACTCTTTTTTCTTTCTTTTGTAGTTAAGAGTCATCAAAGAAGGCATTTGTGACTAAACAACCTCTAGGTATATTCTGTTGTAGCTGCTTTTGTTATTTGTTTTATTTTACAGGTCTTAATCAATAATATACAGGCAGTAGTACACTACCATCTCTATCAAGTATCTACGTGACTTAGAGCATGTACATCAATGATTAACCCCCTCTTGGGGTTCATATGTATTGTTTATTAATTTTATGGTGGGACCATGAATAGTGATGAACCCGAATCAATTGTGCTCTTCCAGCAATGAACCTGAAGTCTGGGTTCATAGGAATAAAATAATATATTTTTAGAAAAATAAAATATTTTTTAATTTTTTTTTAAAAGTTAGTATTCAATTTAATGAGAATTTAAGAATTAAAAAAAATTAAAATTTTTAGTATTCAATAAATTGAAAATTCATGAAGATAGAAATTTTTTGTATTATTTTTTAAAAAGTTTTTATTCAATACATTGAAAATATATAAACTTACATAATATTTTAAAATATTTTTGATTGCGAATGCCAAGCATATTCCCGACCTTCACAGATGTTGTCGGTTGAACTTGGGAGCTTCTGCTTGACTCTCCTGCTTCGAATTCATATGTACCATGCCTCCTATGGTTGCACCGGGCCCTGCACCATAATATCAAACTGTTAGTGGAAACTGGAGTTTGTACACAACACCAAAGAGACTGATTAAGACATAATCACAGCTATAATCTTAGAGATACGGTACTATCTGAATGTTGGTTAACCTGGATCAAGAGGAAAGAATAGTCCGTATTGTTCAACCTGTTCATTTAGCTCTTGCCAACCAATTCCAGGCTCAACTAAAACGTCCATATCTTCCACATGTAATGCTTTCACCCTCTGTACAGTTTGAAAGAAGATTTGAATGAGCATGAGTGGCATAGTTTTAATAACGTCTATATACATACTGTAAGTTAGAAAATCCCTTCATGCCAAGAAAAATGATAAAATCACGTCATACCTAAGTCAAACACGATACACACTAGTTGTAATCATCTTCCTTTACAAACATAAGCAGGTTCAAAGATACACTTTGCAAATCTAATTCTTATAACGAAACTCACCAGTTCCGTTTATTGCATGATACAAAACGGAAGCTGATGTCAGATACAAGAGACTAGAATACCTTCTTTAATGACATGTCAATGCATACATCTCCTTTTGGAGCCAAGGTGTGACCCTCAATCGATGTTGCACCACCATATGGTACAATAGGAACCTAATCAGAGAGTAATTGCAGCATAAAATTAAACTTTTACTGAAGAGAAATATGGCATGTTGGCCTAGACTACAAATGAGAAGCCTGATCACTGAAATCCTCTTTAAGTAAAATTCACAAACCTTATATTGGTTGCAGGATTTAAGAATCTTGGAGACTTCTTCTTCGGACCTAAACAATAGTTAAAAGGATGATGATCCATGAATTTCTTGTTTCTTATAATTTCAATGATAAAAGTCACAAAGATTAATAGAAACAAATATAAGACATTCAGTTATCACAGTCTAACAGCCAGAACAACCATTCTCATCTACTGATAACTAACATAGATGACAAAAAAACCCGTCTCACTCACCTCGGGAAAACAACAACATCACAAATATTTACTGACTTATGAAAACTGTTCTGCGGCTTCCCATGGAAGTGCCTCTCATCATAGTCTGTTGTCAAGTTATCCTTAAAAAAAGAAGGAAACACATAGGCAGCTAAGTACAGAAACACAGCTACACATTAAAAACCATTTCTTAGTGATGAAACTGAAGTTCACATTTGCAGATAAGCTAATGAAATGTAGAAAAACAAAAACAAAGTAAAAATCTCCACCACCTCAAGGATTGTTTTCAACTCAGCAATAATTTCCTTAGGAACCTCTTTGTACTCTCCTTTAACTACAAGTTCAGTACTTCATTTCCCCCCAACTTTCACACCTCTACAAGGAAAATAGAAACAAGAAATCAAACACTCTGTAGACTCTCAATTAAGAAAAAAAAACACTAACGCCGATGATTGGCTGATAGAAGGATACGATGACTGGTTCAGATGCGCGAGAGAAGTAGCTGAGGCAGAAGCTAACGCCAGCGGGACAAGAGACCTAGACCACCAATTTGGAATCCTCCAATTTGGAATTCTCCGCAGAGATCGAAGACACATCACCAATTCTATTCGGCGTAGTCGATTAAAGCTGACGAGAAGAGCAGAGAAAGAAGGCGAAGACCTCACAAAAACCGTGTTTTCCAACTCAAACGCGCAGCCATCCGAAGCGTGACACGTGGTATGACCCCGTCTCATATGGGTTCAGCTGAGAGAACCGGTTCATCAAATAAAGCCCATTTTTCATTTTTTTTTTATAAAAAAAACCCATGAACCCCAGCCCATGAACCTCTAATAAACCTCTGATGTACATGCTCTTAGTAAAACCCTTTTTTTTTTTTAAACACTTCAATCCGTATACGTACATTTCTCTTTGGAGATACAGTGACACTATGAGAAGACTCAGTCAAATGATGAAACTTCTCCTAACATCCTTCTTCGGAGTTATTTATAGTTGGTTTCCTTATGGGTATTACTTTTCCAACCCTCACCTTAACTAAGGTAAGAGTACATCTTCCTTTCGTGCAGCATGTCTCCATAGAAGATAAAGAAAGCATTAGCGTATGCTACTTTACTTACCTGTCATTGTAAGCTTCCTTTAGCATTTAGCAAGTGAACATCTTCGTGATTCATGCTTTTTGATGTAAACCGAAATCAGATTCGTTGTGATTATGGCTCCTGTGTTTCTCCCGTAAAGCATGGCGCTGTGTATGGCATATGATTCAGGTATGAAAAAGACTCGAGTCCTTTTTGTTTAAGGGAAATTTTCTCTTCAGCAAATCCTAATAGTACTGTACAACTGCAGAACGATTTCATTCATGGATGGGGTCTAGACTTTGCGGTTCGGAAATGTGTACAGTTCTGCAAAAACTTCACTTCCTTTGGACACAACTATATGCACATTTTAGGATATCTTTGTCATGAATTCTATACACTCGTTATATCTGCTTCATTGATTTTGCTGTTAATAGAACGCGCACGAGAAGATTGGAGTTGTAGATGCTCAGTGGATTATTCATCAAAGTGTTCCATCACTCGGAAACCAAGTAAGCTCTCAATTCGCTCTTCCATTTATGTTATGGGTTACTAAACTAAGATTTTTGCGCTATGTAGCCGGCTTTAGAAATTATATAAGACAACTTTTCCAATGAATATCATATATAGGGAAATAAGCCCCATACAATTTCAGAACTTAGGGGGGTAGCTGGGTTAACAACTATGTAGTTACATTCTCAAAACCTACTAGTATTTAGTTCAAAAAGTAGTCCTTGATGCAATGATACAGAGTTTGATGCAGTCTTGGTTTCAGTAGAAATATCTAGTAATTTCTTATATTTACAGCATTAGCGGTGTGCATTGAATCTCTTCTTTTTTCTTGGTGAATATAAAATATGACAGGGACGACCAGAGGTAGGGAAACAACCATGGGAAGGGGTAAAATATCCCATGCAAGATTCGATCGTGTGTTTTTGTAATCTTAAAGCTACAATAAAAACTCTATCTGACATTTTTTATCTGTTTATCTCATCAGGTTAGGGAGAGGTGCAGGAGAGAGTGGATGATGTTCCAAGACAGATTGGATAATGCAGAGAAATCTTACTTCGAAGCATCTGCTCACAACAATGTTTCTAAGCATAGTCATTAACCTCTTCTTCTGTTTATCTTTTACCCCTTTTTTCATCCGAAAGTGCCTCTGTGTTTCTATTGATGTTTTGCTCCGTTTTAGCCTATCTGGCTTATGCTTTGACTTTGTTTCTTTGAGCAATTTATGCTCTGTTTCAGAAACTTATTAGTACCTTACTTTTTCATTTGAAAGAATCCAGGTCATGTGACAGATGTTTTTATGTAATGTAAGCAAATTATTTGGTGAATTGTCACAACAACAATCAATTCAACCTAGGAAAAAGAACCCAAAAATAGGAATCAAGTAGGTGAGTTTAACACTCGAAGATTACACAACATCTTCAAGTACTGCGTTCTATCCATGGAGGACGCGTCGTGTATGAATGCCACTAATCCAGGATGCCTTCATTAGGGTACGTTGAAAACAAAACAATAATAAGAACAAAATGATTCGTTCCCTTAATAAGAAAGAACAATAATAATAATCTTGGACGCCTTGATTGGTACACAACATCTTCAAGTTTTACCGTTACATACCCATGGAGGACGTATATATATGGTATACATCTCGGACGGCTTCGCTCGGATTCGTAGAAAACAATAAAAAGAACAAAATAATTCGTTCCCTTTAATAAGAAAGAATGGAGCTGGGCAACGAAAATGACAGTTGTTGCAAAGTGGTCGTGAACATGTATTGTTAATCTTCAATTCAATATCGCCGTAGATCTTTGCTCCTTGTTTTGGGTACCTGACATTCCCAAGTACACAGAAAACATGCAAAGTGACTCCGCAATCAGATGTGTAGAACCACTTCTCTGGATTTGTTTCTCCTTCGCATATATCACACCAATACCTTCCCTTTGCCTTTTCACCGTAACAAAGAGTGAGTGTATGATCTTCATACCTTGGTAGTCTTAATTTCAACGGTAGAGTGGCGCAACGGAAGTCCAAAAAATAATTGCATTTGAGACAGCCAAGGACAGTATCATTAGCTTCTATGCCACAACCATGGCATCTCTTAGAGGCACCATGATAATAATGGTAAGTGTGGTAGAGTAAAGGATGAGGATGACTTTCATGGATAAAAGGTACAGTCATCGAACTGCATAGTATGTCAAACTTACTATACCCATCAATATACATGAAGCCTTCGCCGCACATCTGAAGACAAGCACGACATGTTGTCTTGCTGTTATTTCTGTTAAGGCAAAGAGTGAGAGGTCTTGGGCTTAGAAAATGCCGTTTCTTCTTTGGGAGATTAGCACATGTTTCGTGGAGAATGAAACTGCAATCTGAACAGTTATAAAATGTGTAAGAACCGATGGGACTGACACATGCTCCACACAAGATGCTTTCCTCCAAAGCTATGTTGGCACTGTTGCGGCTCATGTTATGTTCATGAGCGAAATGAGTGATTGTTCCGTCTTCGTTCATCTTGAATGGCTCAGTATCCTCAACGTCTTCTTCAGGTACTCCATCAAGCTCTTCCCCATCCCACACATCTCTCCTTGTTGCACATCTTGAGTGAATGGTATAGTTAGGACATATGGAACACGAATAAGCCCCATATGACCAATCAATATGTTCCAAACAAATCTCACATCTCCATTTTCCAGGACCAAGAGGATACTTGTAAGAAAGTCGGTGATCATGGCGGTTGACGTGAATAACACGTGGTAAGCGAGCACAATCTTGATGGAAGAACATGAGATTGCATTGAAGACAAACATATGGAGAACGTTCTCCTTTCGTTCCACAAGCATCGCAAATGAAGGAGATCAACTTTGGGACGAGTGTGAGTGTATGCTCATGGACCTTCGTATTTGAAAGATAAACTGGTATGACTTTATGCTGCGGATGGTGTTCAATGGCACATACCATATCCAAGTTGAACTTACAAATATCACAATGATAAAGAAAGTTCTCTGTATGTTTTCCACACACGTGACATTCTGACTCTGTGTAATCGGGAGCTCCATGGGTGAGAAGCTTAAGAGGGTGTTTGGCATGAAGAGGATGAGTGATGTCTGGTGAGTCAAATAGGGAGACACATTTCTCATGAACCATCAACCTACAACGAGGGCAGCAGTAGCCATATTTTCCAGGCAGACCACAAATTGCGCATAACATATGATCACCAACATCAAGCATGAGTAGAGGATGATAGTGCCACGGCATATTCAGAGGGGCTCGTGAACACATTGCATCAACCATGCAATCGATGTCCAAATTGAGATCACAAGTGGAACAATGGTAAAGAAGGCGCTTAGTTTTTTTACCACAGATATGGCATTTCTGATCGGTGTGTTTAGGAGCCCCCGTTGTGAGAAGCACTAGACTGTGTCCAACATGGGAAGGGTGCTCGGATAATGCTTCTTGCGCACTGAACACAAAAGTACATTTCGTGTGAACATCAAAATCGCATTCACGGCAATATAAGCCATTACGATCATACGATCGATTGCAAGCACCGCATGGCAAACCCATATCAGTGCCCACGTGTCTTACAGAATGATCGTGTCCTACTAGCGTCACCATGTCGATGGCGGTTGTGGTTGTCAGAGGTGGAGGGAATGCAAATTGATGTTTGAGTAATTTAATTTTTGTTTCGTGTAATAATGAAGCAATGCTGGTGTTCCTCTATATACTTTAATCAATGCTACTTGTTATATTATACACACATTATAGTTACGTCGACTAATCTATATAATAATAGTTCACTTTTGAGGCTCCTCAGCGCGCCACATCAGCAGTTTTGTGGGTCCCGTAGGTATTTTTTAAACACCAATAGTCTTGGTAAGATGATCACAAACAATGAAATACACTTTAGCCAAGTGGTATAAGGTGTCTAATTAAGTATGCTAGATCGTGGGTTCAAACCACGCAGCTATCATATATTTTTGATTTTTTTATTTGGGTTATTATCATATGGGCTTTTTGTTTATAAGGTTTTTAGGTTTTTTTGGGCTTATTGTTTTAAAGATCAAAATAGTTGGATAAACCCTAAATCTTAACAAATTCAAACCCAAAATAATTAAAAATGAATGCAAAACGAACAATAAAAAAAAAAACAAGTCGCACGCGGTTGCCTACGTGAATGGCTTAAAGAGCCTTAAAACTATTCTATTATAATATAGCTCAAACCAAAATAATAAAAATAAATCCAAAAACGAACAGACCAAAAAAAAAAAAAAAAAAAGTGAATTCCATGCGGCTGCCTACGTGGATGGCTTAATATAGATTAAGAGCTCAAAAAGTTATATCATTGCACATATTTCCTTATATATATTTTCAAAAAATTTGTATGTGAGATAAAATAAAAAAAACAACAAAAATTAATTCTTATCCTTATTTATTAAATGAATATGTAATTTCTCTTACATTTTAATAACTACTATAATTTATTTGAAAATAATCCTCGAATGGAATCCCACAGTCGATGACACCGTAGATAAAAATGCCACATCATTTATGAACAAAACTCAAACTTACAAAAAACCATATATAAAAACCTATCTAATGAAACTTAAACAACAGATATTAACTTAATTAAGGTTATTTTCAAATTGATAAATCGTTTAATACAAATATAAATACTATAAATATAGAATTATATCAAGTTTTGATCTACGATATAAAAACTATTTACAGCAAAAAAAAACACCTACTTTTACACACTAAAAACAATATTATAGCCTAACTATTCCTATAAACCTTACTTCGCATATAAATAACATTTAACATATTCCTACTATATTTTCAAAATAATTGTATGTGAAATAAAATAAAATAAACAACAAAATTTAAGTATTTTTCGTTATTTATTAAATGAATATGTAATTTCTCTTACATTTTAATAACTACTATAATTTCTTTGAAAACATTTCTCACCACTGACTCCAGACTTCGGCGAATGGATTCCCATAGTCGATGACTCCATAGATAAAAATGCCACATCATTTATGAACAAAACCCAAACTTACAAAAAAACATATATAAAAACCTATCTAATGAAAATTAAACAACAAATATTAACTTAATTAAGGTTATTTTCAAATTGATAAATCTTTTAATACAAATATAAATACTATATATATAGAATTATATCAAGTTTTGACATACGATATAAAAACTATTTACTGCAAGAATAAAATAAAATAGACACCTACTTTTACATACTAAAAACTATATTATAGCCTAACTATTCCTATAAACCTTACTTCGCATATAAATAATATTTAACACATTAGATATACAATATTTTCACTTTACACTCTTACTATATTCTTTTTATTTCATTATTATTTGGTGTCATTAGAAGAATCCACTAAACCAACAATCGAAAAAAATACACGCAAACATAATGATCCCAGCCCCGCGCTTGCGCGGGGGTTATGCAACTAGTCTATATAACAGTACAACTTGTGAGCAAGTAGCTAGCAATTTGTTTAATCTAAACCCTATGTCCTATCGATTGCCCCACTCAGATTTTGTCTTTCATGCGAGTTTTCTTCCACTTGTTTAATTCATTATCACCTTTTAATTTCAACATGCAAGATAATTAATGGAGATAAAGTTTTTGACCCATAAATAATGAAAATTAGCACACTATAGAACCAAGAACTCTCCTTCTAAACTAAGATAAAACGTTTTTGTAGTCTTGTAACGGCATAAACTACTAATTATAATGAGAGATGGAGCTAAACACAACCAGGTAAAGAAAGCAATCAATCCAAGGAAATATTAAGCAAGTAAACGAATTTTTTTTAACCAAAATGGGAACAATGACTCATGAGATTAGCCGTTGATCAATCATTGTTACTTGCTATATTATACATAATACATGAATATTGGCGTGAACAAATCTACAATAATAGAACTGGTTGGCATGCATTATGCCTTTGTTCAACTTAAACATAGCATCGTTGACCTGGTATTTTTGTCTGCATGCATGTACTTGTTTATTTTCTTATCTTTCCTCTTCCAACTCTTGCCATTTTTTCTCTCTTTCTAATTAAATAACAGAACATTACAAGGCCACTATCATCGGAACTATCTCTAGATAGGTTTCTGCCCAAGAAAATGTAAAAATAAAGGAGAAATGAGAGATACAGGCAACAAACTCTGCTGTCATATAGCTATTAGTTAATTGCTTAATTTGTTTAAAATAAAATGACAAAACAAAAATCATTATTTCTATCTTCTAAAAGACTGGTGAAGTCTCTCACCATTAAAATTTGTTTTGGTACGAATATGCCAAAAGGCACAACCAGAAGCACAATCATAGGGAAATAATCCTCCTGCAAACTTCAAAACCTTAGGCAGCAGATGTGTTAGTTAGTAGTTATATTTCTCAAGTCAAAACCTACATGAATACTAATATGAAGTTCGGAACTAGTTCTATTGATGCGGTGATATATATAGGATTTCATGCATTCCTGGTTATTCAGTAAAAATATATAGTAATTTATATATTTACAGCATTAGCGGTGTGATGTAAATGCACTAAACAAAATTGTTAATCTTCCCCTCTTTGTTTTTGATGCAAGATTCTATCTGTGTTTTGAAGTATTTAAGAGACAACAAAAACTCTTTCTGACACTTTATATGTTCTCTCCGGTGAGGGAGAGGTTCAGGGGAGAGTTTCCAAGACAGACTGGATGATGCATTTGATGATGCAGAGAAAGCTTATTTTGAAGCATCTTTCACAAAAAGGGAAGAAGCAAAAACTGTCTTTTTCTAACTTCCACTCCATTGCTTGCATTTTGTGTTTGGGTAAAGAGATCAGTCTCTTTTATATTTTTCTGCTAACGAAACATTATAAGCCCATTCTTAACTTCTTTTACTAAATATTAGTATTGATATCAACTTGCCGCATATACCACGAATACAACAACAAATTCATTAACAAAAAGATCGTCCAAAAACAACTTGTTCAAGTAGAAAGTTTCATACAGGCAAGTCCACCACATCAGGGTGTAATGCCCAAGGAAGACATATGGATTATTCCTAGATATCTCTATATAGGCTCTCTATGCAACAATGAAAAGAACATTCGAATCCATTGTCATAATAATTCTGAAGGATGACTTGCGCTGCAAAGTGGTCTTGAAGATGTATTGTTAGGCGGTAATTCAACACCGACTTATCAAGGAATGTCATCTTTAGTCCCACAAGCATCGCAAACAAAGGAGATCATTCTTGGCATGAGCATGAGTGTATGCTCATGGATCTTCATATTTGAAAGATAAACTGGCGGAGAATTTTCAACTGCACAATTGACATCTAAGTCGATCTTGCATACATTGAGGATAAATACTCCGACTTATCAAGAAAACAACTGTTTAGTGTTTGGTCTTCCATAAGTGGGCGTGGACATGTAGTCTGAAATCTTTATTGGACTTTTGTTTCACCTAATAATTGATCAAAAATGTTTGAATACTTTATCAACAATGCTACTTGTTTTATTATATACACTAAGGTTAATATTGACGTTGACAACTCTACAATAATAGAGCAGCTGGTTGGCATGTAGCAAGTCTTAGTTTTAGTTTAAACATTAATTTTGTCTGTCATGTGATCTCCTGTTATAAAAATGTACAAACAAAACTTGATTTCTTATTCTTATTTATCCAGAACACAGGCCAGATAAGCCATAGTGACAGCTCACATCGAATCGATGATGACATTGACGATCGTTACCTTTGATACATGAAGAAGACCCGTGGTTTTTAGAGCATGATTAACCCATAGTTCTGTGTTCTTAACGGGAATTAAAAAACTATTTCTTAACTTTTAACTAAAAACGCTAAGAACCGGTTTTTAATAAGGACTTTAAAAACCGATTTTAACGTTTTTAGTTAAAAGTTAAGAAACAGTTTCTTATCTTCCGCTAAAAACCTCACCTTAAGAACTTTCGGTTAATCATGGTCTTAAAATAATTTGAAGATATAATATGTTTTGTTGTATATAATTATGAACGTTGTTATATATTATATGAAATACTAAGAAATAAATTGTATATGTTTATTATACCATCGACATCTTTGAATTAATTTTTTAAAGAGGATACCCCACCCCATAAAGAGAATGATATTTAATATAGGGTCTTAATCTAATAAAAATGAATCCTAAGAAAATAATGTGTTTCACCAAATATTATTTTAGTTACATTTCTATTTCAACTATAACAAGATGTGCCTACTCATATCAGAAACACAAGTACAAACTCCTTGTCTTTCATTTAATGGAACTCCTGAGCACAGTCAATCTCTTAGCACTCGTTATTTTGCCCTTTGTTGTTCCCCAGATATGGGAAGCTTGTTGGATCTTTCTTTTACGGCCATGGATGATAACAAGAAGATTCAAGAAAGAAGGAATCTCAGGTCCAAAATACAAATTCGTGTACGGAAACCTCGAGGAGATAAAGAAGATGAAGAAAGAAGCTAAGAGTTGGGTTCTTGATCTTAACTCCAACGATATCTTCCCTCGTGTGGTTCCACATTATCACCAATGGCTGTCTCAATACGGTGTCGTTTCATCCAAACTTGTTTTGTTTTGTTTTGTCTTTGGTCCTTTAATGATGAGCATTGCTTAACACATGCAAATTCTCTTTGATTGTATGTTTTAGGAGAAACATTTCTATATTGGAACGGAGCAAAACCAACTTTATTCATCTCAGATCCTAAACTAGGGAAACAGATCTTGTCTAGAAAGTCAGGTTTCGCTGTTGTAGCAAAGACAAGACCTGAGTTGTTCATACTTTTTGGTAGAGGACTTTCTTTCATAGAAGGTGATGACTGGGTTCGCCATAGAAGAATCTTGAACCCTGCTTTCTCCATGGACCGACTCAAGGTCTTATAATTTTTATTTACTACTCCCTCCGTTTTACAAAAAAAAATTTAAGAAACAGTAAATATTTACATTTATTTGTAATTTTTTTTCTTTTATTTTTGTTTCCCAATAAATATTTTTATCACTCCTATTTTTACATATTGGATTATGTTTTTATTTCAAAACAGAATGTGTTAATTTAAGTATACAACATTAATCTTTTAAATACGGAAATCATATATTTTCCTAGCTCTTTTTGAGTGAATGTAATTAATTATTTGCTAATGTTTGCCAGGTCATGACGAAACCGATGGTGGATTGCACCTTGAGGATGTTGGAGGAGTGGAAAATACAGAAGAATAGTGAAGAAGTAATAATGAGGATGGAGATTAACAAAGACTTCCATAGATTAATCTCTGATATCCTCGCGACCACTTCGTTTGGAAGCAGCTATGAGGAAGGGATTGAATTGTTTAGATCACAGTCAGAGCTTGAGAAATATTTTGTTACTTCTCTCACAAGCGTCTTCATCCCAGGAACACAGTAAGTACAATAATATAATAAGCTAATTCGTCAGACAAAAAAAAATATATGTAATCTTGAGATTTGAATGTTTTTTGTTTCTTGTTTCTTGTTTGTCAAGATACCTTCCTACGCCAACAAACCTTCAACTATGGAAGCTTGATAAGAGAGTGAAGGACTCAATCAAAAGAATGATAGATGCAAGGCTAAAATCAAATTCTACAAACTATGGAGACGATCTTCTAGGGATCATGTTGAGAGCTGCAACATCAGAGGAGCCTGAGAAAAGTATGAGAATGGATGAGATTATAGAAGAATGTAAGGCTATATATTTCTCAGGGCAAGGAAATAGTGCCATTGTATTGACATGGACTACCTTGTTACTGAGCTTGCACCAAGAATGGCAAGAGAAACTAAGAGATGAAGTCTTCAATGAATGTGGTTTTACTATCCCAGATTCAGACACTTTCTCGAGACTTAAACTGGTAATTAACTTATTCCATTTTCATGATTTTTTTTACGGTTAATAAATGGATTGACACATCTATCTTATTTATATATTATGATTATTTAAGATATTTTTCCTATGTAAAATGTTGTTCATGATATATTATAGAGAATTTCTTCCAACTTCTGATGTAGGACGATGATCTTAATACTTGTGGCTGAATAAATCTTTTTTCTACAGATGAACATGGTGTTGATGGAGTCGCTTCGCCTGTACGGACCAGTGATTAAAATGGTCAGAGAAGCAACGCAAGATATGAAGATAGGACATTTGGATATCCCCAAGGGCACGAGCATAATCCTCCCGTTTCTGAAGATGCACACCGACAAGGCCGTATGGGGAGAAGACGCCCAACAGTTCAATCCTATGAGATTCGAAAACGGTGTTTCTCAAGCCGCCAATCACCCAAACGCACTCCTTCCGTTCTCAGCCGGACCAAGAACTTGCATTGCCCAAAACTTTGCTATGATGGAAACCAAGATTGTGCTCACTATGATCCTTCAACGGTTCCGGATTAGCCTCTCCTCTGAATATAAGCACGCCCCCTTTGATTACTTCAATCTCTATCCGCAATACGGCATGCCCGTAATGCTTCAGCCTCTCGATACTAGTGCTCAACCGTGAGGAAGGGAAGATACCAAACCAAGAATCTCAACGGGTTTAGTAAAAATTCAAGATAATAATATGTACATGCTTAAATAAAACGGATAATAGGACGACGAATGATGACGAAAAAAATGAATAGAGAACACTCTCTAGTGACATTTTCATGGATGTTGGATGAGAATAAAACGTGGTAGAAACGATGTTTGTGCCCTTCTAAATCACTCAGCCATGGCTACTGCGGTGCGGTGGGTATTAATAAAAATTAGTGTTTGGATAAGTGGACTTTTTAATCTATAAGCTCTAAGCAATGCTAATTGTTATATATACGCATTAATATTTAATGTTGAAAAATATGATAGTATAGAAGTTAGATGTAGTGGCCTAGTGGGCAGAGTAGTTAGTTCTTTGTTATTTACTTTGATGATATATATATATATTTTTTGATAAAGGAAATATAATGTGAATTTGATAATATATATTGCATGATACAGAGTGGTTTACACTTTACACACGGATCAATTATCCTCAGAAACTTTTGCGAGTTCATACACACTGAAACCTACGTTTCTAACCATCAAAACCACACGTGGATCTTGAGTAGTTAGTTCGACTTTGTTTTTATTTGAAGAATAGTTATTGTTCCACTCATATTTTTTCTACACGTGAGTAGTTTTCTGATCTTTGCTCTTTCCAACTGTCCAACATGAAGTTTTTTCCAGTTTTAATACTCTTCTCTTAAATGTTTTATATCAGAAAAGTCGTCGTTACTACGAAAAGAAATCTGAACACTTGGCTTAATTTAATATCATTGTACCTATCCAGATCACTTTGGACAGACGTCAGTGTCGTTCACGTTCCAGATTAGTCAAATTTTGCACGTGATATTTTGCTTTCCTTGTCTCTTAGCTATCTCTTGTTTCTTAGCATAATGTTTCGAATTTGTGTTACAATTTGCCATTAAATCTGGGGGAAGTTTATAGATAACATTATACAGATAATTGGTGTCTCATTAGCTAGCACCAGAGCGGCCTTAAACATTTTAGAATTAATCTTAAGAAAAGATAATTCGATAACTTAAAAGCCATACAACTTCTGTATTGATTCCAAAAAAAAAAAGACAACTTATGTATAATAATTTTCTAATTTTAGAAGTCAATTGCCAATATTTCATCCAGGTGCGTCCAGAACCAGCGTTGGCTAGCATAGAATTTTGGGTGTCACTGATTAATTAGTATCTTCTACTTATTCTTTCCACCAAAAAAAGATCTGTGATTAACAGAGCTTTCCTGCCATTTTATGTCAACAGTCACACCTTTTGTGCGTATATAAAACTGTAAGAAAGAGTGTTCCGCTTAGGCTTAGGGTTTATCTAATTTTATTCGACTTGTTTACTTTACCTTATTTATGATCGTTTAACACTCAAGCTCCTCATCACGCAAGTATTCACTGTTTTAGCTCTTATTTAAAAAAAAAAACAGAAAGTAAATCACTAAAAAATAGAACAATATCTTCAAATGGTTTTGATTTCACTGTATCAATTCAGACCAACGAGGCCAGAAGCCAAAGTCATGACAGCTCATATTGAGTCGATGCTGATGCATACTCTCAAGATAATCACAAAAGATTTGGTCCAAAAAAAAACCGCAGAAAAAAATATTTTATGATTTTTGTGTTGTCATCTGTTAGGAGCTATATATATATATATATCTTGTCTCTTTTTAAATTTCTATAATAATAAAATTAAAATATTGGATATAAAGTTTTGTTACGAAGAGTTTATGAGAAAAAAAACACAAAATTTAAAAACTTAAGAAAATTGAAACATACAACCTTCTTTTTTTTTTTTTTTGAACAACATACAACCTTCTAAATTTTCTTTATATTAACATGTTAATACCTGATTGACTGGCAAATGCTTTAGAAGTGTGATAGAATATTTTTACAGCTAAGGATTTTATTAAATTTCAAACCTCTTCCAATAATGTTTTAAAAAGATTTTTTTTAAACTTGATTTTTTCTTTTTTTTTAATAGCTTTAGAAAACAAACTACCTAGATCACTTATATCTTAGGTTTAAAAAGTTTACAAGTAAATAATTAAATCTTCTTAAACCTACAACCAAAATTTAAATTAACAAAAAAAAATCATACAACTACAACAATATAAAATCTACAACAAATATATATATATATATATATATATAAAACTACAATTCATTCTGTTAGGAATTCTCGATCGTTAGATTGCTTAATTCTATAACACAGAGAATTTGATCACCGAGTTCCCGGCCTCTAGCGCGGTACGTCTCGGGTGGGAACCGTCTCCCACAACATTCACTATCAATCAAAGGGTTTTACACAAACGCTCTAAGCGCTCAATAGGAAGACACAACAAAAAATAAGAGAGATCAAAGAAACTCTATCTCGAAGCGACATGACTCGAACAATGTCTCTTGCCTCTAGTTTCTTCTAACCCTAATCTCTCTCTAGCTCTCTTCCTTTTGGTCTTTTGTGTTTCGGATCCTGTACTGCCTTGACCACCTTCTTTATTTATAGTGCCACCCACCGTCATTAGTTTTCCTTTCCTTAATTTCCTTTACATAACTAACCGACATTAACGTCTTTCTTCTTGCAGATTTCCATTATTGGGCTGTGGGCTTGGACAAGAAATTGGAATTGGGCATATTTCCTTTCAATCTCCACCTTAGGCCCTAATACCAATTCTTCAAACTCTAGCTTGCTTCCGTGTCGTTCTGTTGCATCTCCACCGTTGTTTCACTGTTTCATATGAAAGCTCCCATAGCTCGTGTTCCAAGTGACGTAACCGATTCAACTTCTAAAGACTTCATCTTGCTCCTCAGTAACACTTAACCATCATTGCGCAACCGTTGATGGTTCCTCATTGTACAAGACCCACCATCCATACTGAAGATAGCGATTCTTCATTTAATGGTGAATCTTGTTTTGACTAAATCAAACTGATCAATCTCGCCGGAGTTCTGCAGTTTCCAGTAAGCTTTCTCTGATGCTTGATTTTACTTGTAAGAGCTCTTGGTTTGCCTCTATTAGAAATTGAAAAATCCTGACCATCATTTACTTGACAGTGACGACCTTCGAGAATTATAAGTTTGCTGATCGCTATCTCAAGCTTCCCTGACCTGAAGTTGAAGATTCACCTCTCCAGATTTAAAAACAATTATCTTTCTTTGCCCTTACCATGCTTCTCTTATCATCTCGGTTCAGAGACATATCCGGTGACTCTGTTTTATCCAAGCACCACCAGTAATCTTCCGTTCAACCCCTTTGCTCTTTCCGATAGTGAAAGTCTTGATGCAATTCTAAAAGAATCTTAGATCTTCTGGCATACCCTTCCAATGCCGACCCTTTGCAATCTCAGGTATAGTTCTAAGCTCCTCTTCATCTGTTTATCATGATGAATTTAGCTTGCCCCTTTCTGAGAATCCAATACTATGTAAACTGTTAAAATTCACATGTTTTCTTGCTTTTCTCTACAGCTTCTTTAACGAACCACCGCGTCTCCTCAGCTGTGCTGATAACTCTAGGTAATCTCTTTCACCTGTGTTATCTTCTCAACAACTTATCCCTTTCGATTCTCAGAACCCATAAATCATAATTTGTATGATCTCTACTTTGCATCTTTCTTGGACGAACAACAGACCTGTGC